GAGCCCTCTCCTAGAATGTTTTTGTAGATTCCGAAAATTCTATGGTAGATCAGGACGAGAATGAATCCGGGAATCCAGGACATACTCATCCTGGAGCTTCAGCTCTCCTCTGGGGAGGGGTTTTTATAGATAGAGAGGTGAGTCGAGGGGCCTCCCGCTTTACCGATTTCTCGGAATCGGAGGATCATCTGCCTGAACAAGAAGGAGCTGTTCTCGATGTGAGATCAGCAGCAAAAGAAAGAAGCATAAAGACGCAGCACCACCTACTCTTTCAACCGTAGAGTCGGGGTTCGCCCTCAGTCCTCACTGGTTTTGTAAAAGTAAGTAGTCGTTGGTCCTTCTGACTAGCCTTCCTCGGTCACAGCAAAGTGCCTTCGATTGGAACTTCGATTTGCATGTGTTAAGCATATAGCTAGCGTTCCTTCCAACTATCACAAGCAGGTGAGTGAATCCCCTTTCCTGGTGCTGCCCTTGCTCTCATTGCAGCAGAGCCATTTATATCTGCCACTTGATCAGTAGAGGCAACACGCTTGATGTTAAGATGAATGGCCTTATTATCTGCACCTTTCATTCTTTTTTTTGTGTTAAGGCCCTGTTATTACTACTTGAGTAAGGGAGGAAGATAGTCCTTTTAAGAGGGAAGTTTTGATGCAACACGTTCATGCAGGAACGATTAATTCATCTTTCTTGTTATCGTGTAAAGGGTGCTTGGCAGTCCGATGACGCGCTAGGAGCAGCCTGCAGCTGCCTTTTTCTTTATAAAGTCTAGTTGTTATATGCTTAACACATTCAAATATCTTTCCTTTTAGGAAGGTTAGTTTCTGGAATGTAATATCTGCTACTTTATCCTTGTTGACTGGAAGGTTAGAGCAAGCTAGGCCATATAAGAATAGATTCTATCGATCAGTTCTTGTTGCTTTCCTCTTGCTAGGCTAAGAGCTGAGTAGATCCTAGTGTGAGGACTTACCTTGAACTTCCTTACCTCACTGTAAGTTCTTCCTCTTCAAGGTTAGAGCAATCTAGGACAGAAAAGAACTAATGAGATCTCTCAAGGTCTTTGCCTGAAGGTTAGAACAAGCTAGGCTAGATAAGAATTAGATGTGAGCTCTCTTCTTTCCTTTTGTAGTTGCATGTAGCTCCTTTCTCTTGTTTGTTTTCGATGTTCAAAAGAGTCTGATTTCACAGACTCAAATGAGGAACCAATACTATGAGTAGATGTGGTTTGAGATCGATTGTTAAGGCCTTGACCCCACGTCGCAAAGCAAAGTGGAAATCTATCCCTGGTACGAGCATGGAACACTGGGTTAGCAGCAAGGTAAGTGGCACTCATATTGTAACAGTTAAGTAGTTGGGGATCCTTGATGTGAATATCAAGATCACGAAATCCGTAATGGAGCCATATCAGTTCAGTAGCTGTGCTAGCGAGGTCCCGGTATTCAGCTTCGGTACTAGAGCGTGAGAATTCTTCGTGCACTATGATAGGAGCCCAGGATCCAGTTGTGAAGCGACGATCATCTGGGTTTCCAGCCCAATTAGCATCAGAAAAGGAAATGGGAGGGATGGTTAACCCATGAGTGTGCCTTTGAGAAAGCGAAGAATCCGCTTGACAGCGATGAGTCGTTCTTCGTGGGAGATGAATATGTTGAAAGACCTAATTCACATCAAATGTAGGGTCGGGTGAGTGTCAAGTATTGGAGACCACCATCCTGTAGGATCGAAGATCCCCATCCAGTTGAAAACCAGCTGAAATTGGGGTAGAGCAGGGCTTGCATACCGTCATGTTAGCCTTGGAAAGAAGGTCAAGTTTGAGAGAGAAAGAATCGTGGGGGTCAATATTCAGGATGGTTAGAAAGCCAGTCCATAAGACCAAGATCTGCTCCACCTTTCAACACTACAAATTCATTCCATTCACAAAGCAAAGACTACTGGAAGGGCTCAAGCTAAAGTTCAGGGCATGTCCCTGAGATGAGTGCCTGACTTCCTTCCTGAAAGGCCTAGATGAAAGCTAAAAAAAGTTTGATTTTCATTTTAAAGTGGCCAGGTAGAAAGAAGTGAAGTTTCTATTGATAATTGATATTGAATCACGTCAGATCCTTGTTTAAAAAAGAATATCAGATGTCCAGGAAATGAAAAGAAAGGGATAGAGGAAGATTCAATACCAGCTGATTCCCTTATAGATTAACCTCCTTCAACCTCCGAAGCGGATAAGATCCCAAGAGCTTCATCTATACCAGCAGATGAAAGAGGAGCTTCTACGTGAACATTTCTAACAGCCTCCTCCAACAGTCTAGTCACTAGCACTGGTTCTTCCAGCAACAGCTCTTACTGTAACAGAACTAGGACCGTCAACTCCAACTGTAGCAGCGGGAATCCCCTCCCCACCCTAGCCGGAATGGAGGAAGAACTTTCACTGGAGACATCAGATGTTGCAGATGGTTGGGTTGGTCCGACCAAGAAAGCCATGGGAGCAAGGGGCTCGAAAGCTTCACTTTACTTAAACTTAACCTTTTTAATTTTAATAAAGGGGCAAGCAACCAAATACCACTTTACAAGACTTAGTTATAATAAGGAAAACCCCGTATGTATATATTAGTAAGGCCTTTTCCCTTACCCGTGTTGTTGTTCTTCTTGTTCCCTAACTTTCTGGTTTAAATAAGGACCTCGTCATGTTCATCCTTGGCTTATTTCCTGTAATTTCTCTCTCTTCTTTCTTAGCTTTGCTCTAGGTCCCTCAATTTTTTTTTTTCGACCTTTAGCCATCTCCAATCGATCCTCGAAAGAAAGAAGCTTTTGAGTCAGGGCAATGGGGGAAAGCCACAACCTCCCTGGACAAAGGCAGAGACCATTGCCCTACTTTCTGACCTAGAAGCGACTCCATTGGCTTTTCGAAAAGCAGTAAACTATGAGATGTCGTCTCGTCTCTTGAAAAGAATCGAAACTGAAGAATCGGCACAATCATCTCCCCAACCGATACAGAAGCAGCTTTCTGTTTATAAGCTTAAAGTACAACTGTACGAATGTAAAGAGCGGATGTAGCAGCTTTTTTTTGAAAGGTAGCTGTAGCTTCTGGCGCAGGAACTTTAGTTAGACTGAACCGCGCAACTTCCTTCTGCTTCCTTTTCTATATTATCTTGTCTGTCTTAGAGAGCAAGCGTATCTCTTCCGGCAATAGCACCTCTTCTTTTTAGCTTGACTAGCCAGCAGGAGCAGAAATCGCAATCGTCGTAATCCGAATAACGGAATCAGAGTAGCTGCGTATTGGCTTTGTAATTCTTCTTATGGCTTATTAAGTCTTTCCGAGAGCAGCAAGCCACACCACCCACCAACCCTCAGCCAAAAAGCCGTGCCGTCTCTTGCTTGGAGAGGAAGCGTCCACTTGACTGGCTTTCCTGCTTTCCTAACTGTAACGAGATCTGATTCTTTATAATAGTTACCACCTCTTCTTCGCAAAAAACCAACCATTCGTTCAGAGTCGACAACTGCAGATAGGCCTCTCCCCAATGCAATTATATCTCCTGCGAATCCTGCTTCCGGCCTCATTCTTCTATTTCTTTATATAAGATATAAGACGCAGTCCTCTCTCCTTGCTGCCAGCGTGCGAGCCTACGGCCTTGGTCTTCCCGAAATCGTGAAAAGAACGCAAGATAAGGTGCATTTTTTCATTTCAGCCCAGGACCTCCAAGCTTGTACGGCCGGATGTCGGTCCCACGTAGTTGGCGCAGGCCCCAATGACTTACCCGACGTTTTTTCGAAGACGTGTAAAATCTGGCTCCGTCCCGCAACATTCGATGGCGTACTGCACCAAGTAGAGAATTTTAAATTCTTCTTCCTTTCTTTCACTTTCGAGTGATTCATCAATAGGGGACCGTACCATAGGAAGGGGAAGTTCCTTCTTGGAATGCCGTCGTCTAGCTGGAAAGGCTTTTCTTTCTTGGCCCTGTAGAACCGGATTCCGTTCCTTGATTCGAACCAGACTGACAAACCTCCCATCAGATGAATAAGAAAGTGGTCCAACGAATCCAGCTGAGCACAGATCTATTCTTCGAATAGCAAGCAACAATAGAGAAAATCGCAGCTAAACCCTATCCGTTCAAAACGGGTACGATATCAACTAATTTCGAGGGCCTTGGAACCTGTTTGGAATTCGCAAGATATCAATCACCAATGAAGCCCTTCTCATGAAATTGGGGTGGGGTGTAATTCATGAGCCAGAGAGTTTTTGGGTCGTGGTGTTGCGGGGAAAGTATGTGAGAACATATGACCTTGTCCCTTCCATCAAAGCTAGAAGCCAGGACTCTCCCCTGTGGAAGGTGAAAAGTCTGGCCTAAGGTGTTGGAGGGTGTCTCTTGGGTGATAGGCAATGGAAATGGGAGGATTTCGCTCATCTTCTGCCTGCTTCTGTTGTCATGAAGATAGCAGCCACGGTCCCGCCCAAATGTGGGGCTGTTCAAGACTGAGTGGCCTGGAAACACACATCCAATGGTGCTTTGCTTTCTCCGTTAAGTCTAGTGTGCGAAGAGTTTTTTTACTCCAGAGGACAGGCTTTGTCGCTTAGTCTGTAAATGGGATGGCCCTCAACGGATCAGATCATTCCTTTGGTTAGTCGTGCATGGCAGGTTATTGACTAACGGCAACAGATTCAAGCGACAATTGGCAGACTCTCCCAGTTGTCAGTTTTGTGACGGTCTTTAGGAGTCTGAGCTTTATTGAGGGATTGCCCACGTTATGAAAAATCAAGTCTTATTCCTCTTCTCGAGAGATGTTGGGATTTCTTGATTCAGGGGAAATGCACTTATTAGAGATGGTATGAAACAAGAGTTCAAACTTCCTAGGATGTTAAAGTGTGATAGACATTCAATCAACGGATTTAAGAATCCTAGTATGTCTGACTTCTACTTCATAACTTACGCTACGATATTTCTTCTAAGGAAAGGCAGAACTGCAGCCCAATTGCCGTTCTAGGAGGGAGCTTGGAGAAGCCCAAGCCTATTCTTTCCATCGATAAAGTGAGAAGAAAAGGCCCTGACGGCATGGGACTGCTTCCTTTGCTACGGATGCCTAACTTCTTCAGTCTCATGCTTCTTAACCTTAAGGTGATAGAGTAGAGACAATTCCTATTGACCCCTCGGGTTCCTTCACTCACTTTTCGAGGCATCGGATTTGTGAACATGTCAAAAGCTTATTATTGTGCAAAGTCAAGCAGCGGGGAAGATCTTAACAAAAGCTACCCATGGTCCTAGTCCTAAGAAGGGTTCTGGAGAAAGAGTTAGGGCATACTTAGATTTTTGATTATGATTGATTGGCTCACTGAACTCCCCCAAACTAGTCGAAGGTTCCAGTCGGAGGTCAAATGAAGAAGGAATGCTTTTTTATTGCGACTGGGAATAGAATAGACTTAGTGAAGCTAGTCTATTATCTTAGGTCTCACCTGTGCTATCACTAAAAGAAAAAGGGAATAGCCTTTCTATACATCCGCGACTCACTCTGGTAAGAAAAGAAGAAAGAAAGTCAGATCACCACTGAATCTATCTGCTCCCACGGTGCGGTAACTAGAAAGCACTACTTTATTTGTTCAAATCAATCCCCTCTTCGCTACTGACTTGGCTTCTTCCACTGAGGATGTTGGATTCCTAAATTCAATCATTTACCCTTCGCCCGCTAACTCTTAGAAATAAAGTAAACCCATGCAGTTATATTCAAGACTAAGGATCCCTGTTTTTGAACATAATTTCCCTTTCGCCGGGATCAACTACTTTATATACGATAACGATACCATTCACATTAAAGCATTCGTTACGAGTCGCGGAGAGGAAGAGGAGCTTATGAAAGAAGAGACAAGAGCTCCTTTCCTTCTCCCCCGAGGTCATGAGCTACTCTCTTCTAGCCTTCCCCTAACAGATTCAATGGCATCGCTTATTCTTTTTCTTTCAAGCATGAGTGACCAGTCGATTCTCTAATTAAGATATAGCAGTCAACCATCAAGAAATCATCAACTAGTTAACCGGGGATGAGCTCTATGGCTAATTCGTTCGGCTATTCTATTAAGTAAGAATCGACTTAAGCTTAAGCTAGAGCAGCTCCTTCTATCACATCGGATTCTAGTAAAGAGATGGGCCTTCTCGTCTGATCTCTGCATCAACAGGAATGCGGGAAAAGCTTCTTCTCGGGACTCTGGGGCGAGAAGAAGCTTTCTCCGCCAAGGAAAAAGAAGTTCGATTCAATGTCTCTTGCTAACGCTTATTCCGCAGTCTCCTTTCCTAAAGCACCTCCCCTTTCTACAGATGCTGAAGATGTTACCGGCGGTTGTAGACGCTTCCGCAGCAATCATAGATCTAAGCTTTGAAGTCCCCAGTTCCGGATGTCCTATTCTTGTAGTTAGGTATCCCAAAGCTATTTCCTCTGTTCCTCCCATCCCTGGCTTACACCCTGTCAGTAGTAATACCTACCTCTAGCCCACCTTCCAAACGATTGAAGGTAGGACGGATTAAATTCCCCCGGGGCGACAAAGCAACAATTCGATAAGCACCCCAGCTCTTTTATTAGTAGGACGGGCGATGGGCAAACATCTTGTTTGGTAACTTGCAGGCCTCGGGCGCTAGCCTTGCGAACGGTTTTCTTTGGTTGCTATCCCCCGCTCTTGAAGGATTAGATTTGGTGGAATCATCTGGGTTTAAAAAGCTTTTGTCCGCTTGAAAGGTTTTCGTTGTTCTTGGCTGTTTCAATCTTGGTCGAGCGCCTTTCATAACCTCGGCGATTTATCACATTAAACAATTAAACCTATTCCTCAGGAGGGCTTCGATCCCTAAATTAGTATAGCGCCTACTCCGGGGATGATGGATATCTTGAGTTAATAGAGCCAACCAAAGCTTGCTTACTTAGTGTGTAAAGACTACAGCTCCGGAAGATACCGGGCATCTGTGAAAGCTAGAATCGGTCTGCACCCTCCTCATTCTACTCAGAAGGAGCTCCGATTCCTATTGGTTTTGGCAGAGGCAAGAAAGAAAGAAGCTAGGCTTCACCCAATCTTCCAATCTAAATCTTACCGATCTCGGCTGAGAGGGCAAAAAGCTATAGATAAATCGATCGATAGGATGTCTTTGCATCCCGGACCATAAACCGTAGAAACGTCCAGAAATGGTAATACAATAAATTTAGCTATCTGGACCTAGCTCGATATCAGTAGAAGATAGAGCCGCTAGCCCGACTGGAGATAGTTACGTGCTTGTCTGAGAGGAAATGGGCGGGCTATACAGTAACGGATTACGGAATGCATCAAGGGGGCGTGGCGTGGACCAACCATACATCTACCCGTTGCTTAGGTCATTCACTCAAGGCTACCGGGGATCTTGACTCAACGGAATCAGACTGCGGGTAGAAACCGTATAAAGCTTCGAATCCTTGAATAGACATCCCTACGCTAACCAAAAAGAAGCTAGCTATGCCCCCGTCGGGATAAAAAGACAGGGTGGAAGGTTCCCCAGGAGAGAGATACGGAGCAGAGCAGCACCCTTGGCCTATCGTTTAGGGAGGAGGCGAGCGCCTTACTCTTTTGGTCTTCACTTGACGTTCCACTCCTTTCCAACTCATTTCAGGGACCGTTCTGCAGACAGGACTAGAGCCCTTCTCGGGTGACCGAAATCCGAATGCACATAAAATCTCACCCTCGTATTTTGTGGTAGTCTAGTCGGCTCGGCGAGTGATCCAGGAAGTTATGCCTTAACTTCTGTAGTCTCTCAGGATGATAGAATCAGTAAACAAACTGAGATTCTTCTCAATCTGAAGATCAGTCGAGTCAAAATCTTTCTTCCCCCTTTCTTTTTTATATATTATAAGAAAACCTTCCTTAGCGTACTATACTTTGATAAAGGGAATGCTGCCGATACTTGAAAGACTCATCCTCTGGCAAAAGCTTGACTTTCTTACTTCAATCGCTTAACCCAGAAGGTCTCATTCCAGTTTGACTTCTATGCCTAATCGATAGTTCTTCTTGCTTCAGTTCCCTATGAGATTGATTGAACAGAGCTTCTTGCTACATAGAAATGTCCTACGAGACAGAGTAATGGGAAAGAAAATCTTAATGCGCCCAACAATGATTCTAATTCCCGCGGACTGGTTACATCAAGACCAGGTGCAGCCAGTAGCTTTTAGATCTTCAAAGCTTGTTCAATGATCCTTCCCTTTCCTTTCATATTCTTTGGAAACTCATTCCCTTACCCCGGCAACTCACTCTTTGCCAGAAAAGTCCTACCACATATTTACCCATCGCTCTCTTCTTCCTAAAGCCAATTCTTCACTCAACTACACATCATTTTCGGATTGCCTATGCCTTCTTTTTATTGTAGTTGATTTCATAATGAATAAGGCTTCCCCGCTTCTTCTTTGTTCTTGTTCTTTCGTAAAGAGCGTCTTTTTAAGTTAAGCCAACGGTGTTTTCAAAACGATTCCTGAGTCTACGGAGAGAAATCGGTCTTTAAGCGAAAATCCCGGGTTTTTCTATCTCACTCCACGGAGGGAAAAGGTTTGTTAATTCATTCAAAAGACTTCCCAGTTTCGTACTGA